TTGGCGCCTTTAATGAGGCGCAGGATTCGACCGATTCTGGCAAGTCGGATGACTCTGAATAGTGTGGGGGACACAAAGTACTTCTCAATCATCTCAGCTAAGAACATACCTAGAGAAAAAAAAAAGTGAATAATTAAATCCAATTTTAAATTTATTCATTACCTATAGAAAGATTTATATATTGCTATCTCCAAAACAATCAGTATAAGGAGTCTATGTTATAGGAAAACATTATGTAAGTTATTACATTTTATTGAAAGCTGTGTTTAAGGTGGAAGCATCTTTCTTGTGTTGAATTGCTATCTCAGAGAAGAGAAACAAGTAAAAGAAAGTCTGCCAGGAAAGGGAAATTTATGTCTTAGATACAGTTAATTCTTGAAGCTGAGCCTATAACCACTGTCTTTTATGAAGGATGATGTTGGCTTAATTTTTGCAGATCGGCGATTTTTTAACAGATCTACGCTGTATCAGTAAATCTCTCTAAGATATGTCACTCTTTAAGAATAAAGGTTTGTCACATGCCTCATTTGCACCATGGAGAGTCATTGGCTTTTAACTGACAGAAATCTATTTACCAAGATCTCAGCAAAAGTAATGAAAAATCTCACCTCTTTCACATAGTTTTCAGTTTTGGTACTGAAAGCAAACCTGTGGTTAGTTTGTAAATATCACTGAACATTACTCTTTATATTTGTGCATGTTAATCTAATGTGCCAAACAGTTCCTTTATGTCTTTTGATGTGGAAACTGACAGTAAATCTAATGGGAAAGACAAAAATCTTAATATGCAACATTTCATATATTGTATGCCCAAAAGTATGAAGATCTGAATCAACATGTAAGTCAACAAGGAAAGAGAAAATTTCATATTTGGTATCATAACATTCTTGAAACAAATGTCTATTCCTTCCACTAGTTCTTTCTGGAAAGGGAATTGCTCTTACCTACTATGGAGAGAATCACAACGACAAAATCAAAAATGTTCCAGCCTATAGTGAAATAGTAATGGCGAAGTGAAATCAATTTCAGCACAAATTCTCCAGTGAAAAGGATAATGAACACCAGGTTAATCCGGGATAGAATTGTTTCCATTTCTTTACTCTGGTCATCTGTTTCTACCATCATTGTGACCATGTTAAGGCAGATAAGTATCATGATGCTGATGTCAAATACTTGTTTGGTTACAAAATCGAAGATCATGCCTTGGAATTTGTTCTGCAAAAACAAAGATTCAATACAGTTTATACTCTGAAAATATTTGGCTTTACAAATGCCAAATGGGAAAGCAACTCCCTTCAAGATTTAGGAGTGCAGAGCAAGACCCATAAACAGTATAGATGCTAATATATGCTAAACTCATGCTGGTTTTTGTCTCATCCTGTTAAGAGTGAATCAAGAAGTTCAACACTGCTGGCTGAAGAAGCAGGAAGGGAAACAATGCAATAATAAGAGTAATAAAAATGACAATTCATATTAATGGTGTAAAAAAAGCTGTTATAACTTGATAGCCAGCAAGAGTACCAGCCAAATAGAAACTAATTTTCTTATCTTTATTCTCAGCTGGCTTTAGAATGCTAGCCCTCTTTCTTCCCTAAACTAATTGTGCTTGGTGAGTTCATTAGACCACTGAAGTTACATGTCTCAAACACATCATGACTGCAATATCCTAGTTTTTCTCTAGTACTTAGCGCAATGTTTATTGCCATATGTCTCTCCTTTGAAAGGCTATTTATAACTGCTTGGTGCATAAGGTGCAACAAGTAGTTTATTTTTTCCAAACACTGTAGGAGTTCAGTAAATAACAAGAGTAGTGTCTTATCTCAGAGACAAATTTATCCTAGTTTATGTTTTACTTCCTAGGGCATTCTTTTATTCCATAAGATTTTCTACATCTGTCTTTTTCTTTCAGATTAGGTGACCACTGCCCTTTCTGTCTTCAGCAGCAGGGGCCAGTGCATCCCCATTTCCTACAAATTCTCTGTGAGGAGAAAAAAACAAAAAATGAAGTTTATCCCTGGTAACAAGAACCAATAGATGATCCAATCAACTGTGATTTTATAGGACTTTGGCAGGGAATTTTGAAATTTATCACATTAGCCTCATTAAATCCTACAGTTCACACTTCAGAGTGAATGTTTTTAAATGAAACATGAATGATCTATCTGATGGATCAAAAGGGGACAAATTCTACATTTACAAGAAAATGAGTGAAAAAAAATATTTTCTTGCCAGACATATAACTTTCTTTTTCAATATCATAATCCCAAATGAATATTTAATATTAGGAGTATATGAATCAAATTGCTCTTACCACTGGCCTTGGAATAGGTTTCTGTGGCTTTTTGGATCCAAGTTTTTTCATTGCATTGTAATATTTCTTCTGTTCTTCTGTCATAAATATATCCTGACCTCCAAAGTAAAAAAATAATATCAAAACTAATTATTATCATGTCCACACATAAAACATTTAACTATGATATGTCTCTCTGTAATATACCATATCATTTATATTTTATTTATATTTTAAAAAAGGGGTTTTTTTCAGGTATTTTTAGTGTGGATGCCCATATACATTCCTAACACATAGAGAAACCCCGTTACTAGTGCCTTGTCCAGTTGACAGTAGAGTTTTTCCAGTGTCTTCACTCTCACATTGTCTGACATGGCTAAAATGGTTGTTTCTATACTGATGATGGTAAATAACTTGCTGGTTAGGATATGTTTAGGGAATAGAAGAGTGACTACTGTCTTCCATGTCCTGTATTCTATATAGATTTTTAGGATTACAGCTAGACAGGTCTATAAGTGGCATAACTTTGAGACAAAAGGTGTGTCAAGAGAGTGTGTCTGTCTCTAATCTGTGTGTTTTAATGACCAAAAAAAATCACCTTTGATATGAACTTAAGAAAAGTAAACCATATCATGCCATAGCAAATTATTAATTAAACCACTACTGGAACCCTTGACTAACTCAAATGAGCTCTTGTTTGCAGATGCAAAAGCTGCCAGTCAGATGCCCAACTGACTGACTGAATTTCAGTATAAGTAAATGGTGCTTATTGATGAGTCTGCACTGTCAGATGGAAGCACAATGTCAAAGTCACTGTCTGCTGAACTGGCTGTCACAGCCTGAAGTATCATCATAATTGACAGAAAGTAACCCCAGGTGTGTTTATGAGTCTTTTAGGAAGCTAAAGAATATTTTCACATGGAAAAAATTCTGTAGTTCACAATTTTCTATTATCATATATTCTGTTTAGTACTGCTGTTTTTTATTTGGTGATTGGATAAATGCAAATCATATGAGACAGCTTTTTCATACAAAAATTGAGAATGATCTCGAGGTTCTAGTTCTTTTTGGCACTTGAAGGCTAAGAATTGTGAGGCTTCCAAGCATCTTAAATGTGATTAATTGTATTTTTAGATTTTTAAAGTTCTTTAAAAGAGAATTGTATGCATTATCAATAGTATTATTTTAAACATACTTGTGTGTCAAATCTATACAGAAAAAAACACCCTTCCCCTTACACATTTATTATTGATAAGAAATTATAGCTTGTATTTGTGTTTAATGACTTCATCTCATTTCTCACAAAAGTGTGTTAGAAAAACAGAGCTCTTTTGTACACATTTTAACTTGTATCTATAAGCTTATTCATGTAAGGGCTGTTGGATGTAATTTTAACCTACTCTTTATTCAGTTTGCAGATCCATTATCCATTGTATGAACACAGTGCCATATTGTATCTTCATTAAATATCAATAGTTTATAAGATTAATTAATTTATCTTAATTCTTTAAAGTTAATGAAAAAAAGAAATTATTTCATGGCAGATAATATTACTTCTAATCAAACCAGTAATACACATTCCCTCTTTTCGTGTTCATTTTAGCTATTTACACAATCTGCAAACTATTATGAACTGACTCATGACTTGTGCCTCTACATTTGTCAAAATGCTAAAATGCAAAGGTCAAAATCACATCCACAGATTTTAAAACAGATTAGTATTAAAAAAGAGACATTTTTATCCAGGGTCTTGGAATTACTTTTGATTTTTATTAGCCTTAAATAAATAACTTATTAATTAATTATAGCTAATAATTTATAGCACTATGGAAACATTTTAAATACTTATCTTCTTTTTTTGTTGGTTGAAGTTGTCTATAATGACACCAATGAAAAGATTCAAGGTAAAAAATGATCCAAATATGATAAAGATGACAAAATAGAGATACATATACAAGTTGTCCTCATACTTGGGTTGATCTTCTACCTAAAAAGTATTATAAATTTTATTACCCATGAGAATACTAGATGTAAAAAACAATGTATATAATTTATAACTAAGTATATGCTATCCCAGCTAGAAAAGCTATAAACTGCACTAATTTATTAAAAAATCCAACATGTCCACTCCTATCAATATTTGCAAAACTGGAAGCTGATAGAATTATTGCTCATATAGAATTTTCAAGTAAATGTGCCCACAGATATGTTTGTGTATGTACATATATAAAAAGTTCCTCATATAGAAGGAAGAAGTAATGTGGGACTTAGAGAAGTCATTAGTACTTAAAATTTTAACAGCAGAAATCTAAATAATTTATACTATATTCAGTATATTTTCATGCAACAAAATCAGTAAATTTTACTGTCGCCTAAATCTCCCTGGAACTCTTTTGGTCTTGCATGAGCATTCTTACATCCAGCTTAGAACAGATGCTTTCAATACATTTCTAGTGAATATATGTTTTGTGAAATCCATTAAATTGAGGCAAGTGTCAAGGAGGATTTTGTATTGTCTTGATTTTTCTGGATTCCACATCTCAACATTTGCACCATTACAGCAGGAATGAGCAGGAATGTAGAAATTCTGAAGATAATGAAACATGATATTTTACTCTGGGAGACAATATCACTAACATGAGTATTTGTACAGGTTGGACATAGTTTTGGTTTTGTAGACAAGATACAATTCTAATCTCCAGAAATCTTAACAGATGATCTTCAACCTCAAAATCCAACTGCTCCTAAATATCTAGATAACACAACTGCTCAACCTAAAGAAAACAATTAAATGCACAGTCATAAATTATGAAACAAGATTAATATATGCCAGATTTAATAACTGCGTTATATAATCTTAACTGAATTCATTACCATGATTACCAAAGGAATTAGTTAAAAAAACTCTTCTTTGTTCTTTTACATTAACATTAGCATTTCAAAAAAAAGTCTGCCTAAATTAATTCAGCTTATTTGGCCTAAACAGAAGGAAGTGGGATTAATTCTTTCCAGTAAAAATTTTAAGAATCAGAAAAATATGTATTGGTGCTGATTATAATTTTTCATGCTATTTTGTGTGTAGCTGTTTAAATTCTATACCCTATATCAGAATATAACCAACAGATGATCTTTAAAGTCTTACATCTCGTGAATCAACAGCAGCATACATAATGTCCATCCATCCTTTGAAAGTAGCCTAGAAATAAAACACAGTTGCTTATCTTCCCTGTAAAAATTCAAATTAACTAGGTTATTTATTTATTTATCTAGACCATAACTGTTAATAAAATCAATTCTAAATTTATAAACCACAACTAAAAACACAGGCATAATAAAACATTTTTCATAGGTTTTTTGAGAATGTATTTTTTAGGTATTTCAAAAATATTAAAAACCAGGCTCTGAAGGTCTCAGCAAGGCCACAGTGTGTTTGGAGCTGCAGATGATTATTTTGCAGGTGAAGAATGATAGACTTAGACAGACATTAATGCTAGAGATGTTTAGGTAGAATCCACTAGAATCACCCATGGCTGCAGCCATTTTGTTAAGTTTACAGCATGAATTGATGAAATCAGCAATACAGCTTCTGGACAGATACCAACATGCATCTGAATGTTTTTTTCTGTGTCTAAACTGACATAGTATTTTTAGAAATGTTTTAATCCCACATAGCTAAAAGGAATAGACTGTTCAAAGTAAAAATATACATTGATTCTTGAGAGATTTGTTTTACAGAAGACCAAAAAGTGAACTGTGAAAGAGCTGCAATTAACATCTATAAGAACTTGGCTGCGTTCCTATAGAGACTTTGTGTATATAAAGAGTAAAAAAGATCTGTCATCATTGCTCTAAGAAGGTGATTTTCATGGATGCAGAATGTCCACTTTCTAAGGAACGCCAAAGGGTTGGTGTGACATGCTGGCTGGAAGTCTGAGTGCACAATTATTAGCCACAGTTTCCATGCTTATTCACAATAAAGAAAAAAGAACTAAAAAGCCTGGGAAATGAACAGACAAAGAGCATCACTCCTGAGGAGATTCAGGAGAAGAACCATCTCAAGGAGTATATTTCCATCTGTGCTTGCCAGAAGTGGCTCTGGTACTTTGGTACAGTTGCCAGTTTTCATGGCAGAAAACTTGCACTCTGGAAGTGTTCATATCCTCCTGAATCTTGTAGTGCAACAGCAGTTTACTGGGAAGGTATGCTTGGAGTCAGGCTTCACAGAACTTTCTGGCTCAGTTGACAATTGTCAGCGCACTTTGCATAGCAATATTAGGAGAGGAGGAGAGTTCAATAAGAGCAATAAATGCAGAATAAGAGCAGAGGGAGACTGTTAATGGACAATCAGATGAAGAGGTGAAGATGCTCAAGGATCTCTTAATATCTGCAGGAAAAGTAAAGGTCAGAAGGGAATATCTGAAATGGAAAATTTTGGAAAATCAGGACTAAGAAAAAAATAAAAAAGAGAAGAATGAAAAGTTCACAGTATTGAAGTAGTCATTAAAGACCAAGACTGTCTGGATATGTGATATGGATGAAATTGAGACAGAGCTTCAAGAGATTAGCAGTTTTCCTTGCTTCTTCAGAGGCAAGTATTGGTAATAAGACAGTTCAGCTTAATCTCCAGTACAAGAGTAGCAACGAGATCTGAAGTCAGAGAATCAGAGTCATCATTCAGTACTACTACTCAGCAGATGAGAGTCACATTGCCTTTAGAGGCAAAACATTTTAAGCCAGGTAGTTAATTTTGGAATTAAGGTCAACTAGGAATACTGACCTGCTCTGAGATAGAAAGGATAAGCATGCAATTCTTAGATAACCTTGAATATCAGAGCTGTAACAATCTCATGACATTTCTGACATGTTTTCATTCAGTGAAGCTGTATGTCAGGTTATAGACAAGTGATTCTACACAGTTCAATCATCTAAATATAATTTTATGCTTTCTTGCTTGTGTTTTGGGTCGATCCCAGCTATCAGAAGCTCCATTCTAAGCCAAGGAGCCTGTAAAGAGCTAAGGTCTTCACTTCTCTGATGTAAATAAAATATGCTCAGTACTTAGAACAAAGGCATTTCTGTACTACAGTGCACAGGATAAGGAATTGAAGGGGAAACACAATTTACAGATTTTGTATAAGTAGCAGTAATTAATGGAATGAATATGCCATGCAATACAATAACATCTAATACTTCACAAGGATAATACTATAAGTAACATAATGCTTATTTGGTATACTATAATGACTCTTTAATAAGCATTAAGGAATATGATGTTCTATACTGTGCACCACTAAAAAGATTCTTATACCTTTTCCACAAACTATTTTCACATTATTATTATCATCATCATGAGACTGTATTCCCTAGCCTTGGAATGGAAAACTACTCTACTACCATTAATACAAAAATTACAAGAAACAGTGCAATAGAGCTGTGTGAGCTGCACATCACTGCTACAAAGAAATTATTCCACTACTTAACAGTCATTTTTCCAGATTCTTTAAAAGAAGCAAAAAGAAAACATAAGTCTACTTACTACTTGAAGCAGAGCAAGATATCCAGCTCCTACATTATCAAAGTTTACTTTCACGTTTTTCCATCGGGCACTTTGATTGTTTTTTATGAGTTCCTGACACTGAGTATAATTGTTGACATCACTGATATCAAACATCTCACCAGTTGTAGTGTTGACACAGTGATAAAATTTTCCAGCAAACAGATTTACTCCCATGATGCTGAAGATTAGCCAGAATATGAGACATACCAGCAATACATTCATGATAGAAGGGATTGCTCCTACAAGGGCATTTACAACCACCTAGTGTACAAATTAGACAAAATAGCCACTTAGTTAATGAAGAGAAAAAAAAAATTTAAAACACTTTAAAAATGTTTAAAAAGTATTAATATGGGATGAGCATTTGAAATACTACATTAAGATTTATGGAGGAAACATTAATTAAGGTTTAATAAAATGCTAATGAGATTGCAAAAAGCAAGAAATAAAATAACATGAAACAAAAGACAATGCAAAAGTCTGAAAAAAAATCAAAAAGCGAAAGAAAACCTGTTAGTAGCAAGATGGATTCTGAGAATTTGTGTGCTCTAGAGAAAAAGAGAGAAATAAATGTTAAATTCCAACAATATAAATCAAAATCTATAAATAAAAATAAATAGCAAATAAACCAGAAAAAGCTTAAAAAATGATGATGCAGAAGACTGAATAAAAATGTCTGCATGTAAAACTATCATTACTAATGATTTTATTCTTAGAAACTTTAGGTATATATGGCCAGCACCGTATTTCAGTATCCATATACAATGTAACACACTACTTATTCAGAAAGTGCAGAGGTATGACCAGACTATAAATATGTATTGCAGCATTGGAGTACTTTTGGGTGAAAAACTAAAAGGAGATTTCTCAATAACTTTTCCTTGTTTTTCCAGGAAATAGCATAGTCTGCACTTTCAGCAGACAGCTTACAATAGAGGTTTTTTAGGGTTTTTGGTGTTTGGTTTTTTTTTTTAGTTTGTTTGTTTGTTTTGTTTTTTTCTCTTTTGGTCAGATTGGCAGAATATGAAAATAATATTTTTTCTCAACATGACAGTTTTAGCTTGCTAGGAGGAGATGTAAGAGTACAGCAGATGCATTCAAATGAAGTAAAAAGACATTAGCTGAGAAAACGATTTCCCATCTCTCCCCTTCTGTACTTCCAACCCTATGCTTATTTCAGGTGTCTGCTCAGAAAATCTTTCCCTAATACTATAACATTTATTGTGGGACTTTTTTTTCCCCAGGCAGGTAGACAGGGAGCCACAGTGTGGCTTTAGTTTCTGGTGTGTCACTCTTGTCAGCTTCTTAATCTTGTTTTGGTTTGTTTCGTTTTCTGTCTAATCCTGTTCCATCCTGAACCACTGACAAACTAACTGAAGTTAGCTACAGAAATTGATAAAAAAAGTTCCCAGCTAAACTGGAAAAAAATCTCCAACCTTTGTTCTAAAATCTGTCATGTCCTTTTACTTTTCTAGGTCCACAAATCAATGAAAATTTCAATGGTCAGTGGGCTGGGATAAGACAACTGCAGCAGTGAGCACGCAAATATAATGAGCACGAGGTCTGGTCTCCAAAGGTGAGCTGTACACAGGTCTTGTTTATAAGGACATGGTGGAAGGCCTTTTTCCACGTTTTTGCATGTATTCCCATTCTGGAGTTCTTTGAAGAAGGCATGAGTGGAACCATTAACACATTAATTTTTATATGCATACATTCGTTCAGACTCATTCGTTGTATCTCACCCTCATTCCTTCAAATCGTGACAAGGCTCTTAAAGGTCTTAAAGCTCTTAAAGTCCGTAGTGATTTAATGGCACCAAGTTCAGAATAGCCCAGAGCATTGGCTATTAAACTAACCAATGAGACCTATAAAATACAAAAACAATATTATTTTAAAAATGTTTCTACACTGTTTATTTAAAACAAAACCCAACAGATCAACAGTGACAAATTGAACAATGCCACAATTTTCATACTTGCTGGAAAGGCAAGAGGTCTCATAAAGGCATGGTTGAAAAAGCAATATATGCTATTGAATGTCTATTATGGTTCAATAATGTTTAACAATCATATGGAAGCACAGTGTTGGTGAAGGATATGATTTTCAGGAATATATAAAGACAAAATAGCCACACATTCTGTAACTTCATTAAGGTTTAACCTTCCAAACAATTTAAAATTCTGAATATATTAGAATATTTGATTAACTACTGACAATCTTTTGAATATCCAGAATCACTAATAATATGCTGAATATTTTAGTGGTTAATTTAAAATATTTGTTATAAATATTACTTCTAAGTCAAACACAGAGAGTTCATAGCAACAATAACCAGGATATTTCTGAAATATGTATTGAAAGAGTTGGTACTTTCTCACTTGCCTGACAAATCTATTTGTTTTTATATAGGAAAATATTTTGTATAAAAAAACATTACGGGATAGATATCAACAGATACTAGCCTTATAAATCTCATAGTAAGAGCTTTATTATCTACAACAGTAGTAAGATCCTGATGATTGTTATTGGGATTTTATTATAAGACAATCCAATTAAGTAAGGCACAATTAATTTGCGTCTCAAATGGAACTGAGGTTTAGACAGTGTTAATGTGAAAGAAATTAATTTGCTTTGAGCAGTTTTGGAGGCAGGAGTGGTACATCATACCTTACTCATATTTTATTCAGTTCTACCACCAAAAGACACGTAAATGAACATAGACATATTTCGGTCCTTGAGGAAATTCCTCAAATGTTCATTTCTGTGCAGAGCTCTTCAAATGTTGTACAGAAATAGGCATTCACTGATAAGGGTGGTAAGATTTTGTCCATTATTTGAAACATGGGTATCCTATGTTACTTATATCCATAAGGAACAATTAGATGACTTTACAAACACAAGAGTTACAAGATCATGTCTCAAAACGACAATCCAAGAGCAAATACAAATCAGTTATTCATAACTATTCATAACTATTCATAACTATGTTGCTATATATATTAATGTAACAGAAAATAGTATTTTAGTGAATTCATATCACTGTATATTTCAACTGGATTATATGCCAGGATGTAATTCTTTTTATTAAAGGAAAGGTTTATTTTATTGCTGTAATGGATAAATGGAACTTGCTGTGATTTATAAGCGTATTAGAAAGAAAATCTTACTCATTTTCTGTAGTTTGTAACTGAAGTCTGTTCTCTTACAAGAGATAACATTAGTGTTTCTGCCATTACATTAACTTTGTCATTAATTGTTATTAATAACTGTCATTTGTACACCTTATTTGTCTTGTGATTCTGCAGTGAAAGAGTTCTTTGTTATCCTTAGCCACCTTTAATATATTCCAATGATAACAAGACATGGAATTTTCTGTATTTTTAATAGAATATTCATTTATTCATTCACATCAACAAGATGCCCAGACATGACAATAAACTTTAGTGGAAAGACAGCACATTTTACGAATGAAAATTAAATTATGAAACAAATATTTAAAAAATCCCTCTGGGAGAGTAAGACATCTGCTTTAAAACTGAACTCACATTAATGGCTGCTTAATTTTATACCTTTCTCCCTAAACTAGCACCATGCCTTAGCTGTGTTTCACAAACCAGACTCCTTCCAAGCTAGTTAGATAGTGGCAGCTCCTCTAAGCTCAGTGGCTCTGTGCGCACTGGCAGTTCTCAGGTTCTGATTGTAAGGTCTTGTTTGTGCTTTCTATTTCAAACTATTGGCAGCTTTCTTATCATGGTGCTAATGCTATTACACCATAAACCTGAAATTGTTTCTCAGAGAAATACTTCATCTGTTGGAAACAACGTTTCCCTCTGAAGGACAGTTCATAGGAGAAGCAAAGATCTGCTTAGAATTCTATTGGATATACAGCTGTTCTGTACTGCTCTGGTGTTCTTAGTCTTCTTAGCTTGGTTTTCTCTCATCCGTTCCACTCGTTTTGTTGCTAGTAGGTGAGAAAATAAATGTCTCTATACACTGATAATTAATTTCTTTATTTTGAGATAAGAATGCATGCAGATGCAGTAATTTTAAGAAATGAAAAAGAACTCAAAATAGTGGAAAGATTTTCTACATTTGCCTCCTAAAACAGTGGGGTTGTATGTCCTTATTTTTGTTTGTCTTCTAACGTAGAAACTTGGCAGTCACAATTCGCCCTGCTCAGAATCTTCAGTCAGGGTTGTCATCTGAGCCAGATCATTGTTCACACAGCTTCACCTGAACTTTATTTCTATTTAGGCCTAAAAGTTTCATCCATAGGAATTCTGTGCTACTTGGGGAGGGGGCTAATTATGATAGGGGGGGCTATAGGATACATATATATATGTACTTCATAGGATACATATATGTATATATGTACTTCATGAATAACTCCTAATTTAACTTGTTTTACTGGCAAGTAATCAAAATTTATTTTGTTTAGATGCATAATTTCAAGTTATGATTCTGTTCTGTCACTCACTGAACAACAGTGTTGGGGTTTATGTCTATGTCATCTGAATATCCCTTTGAATTAATTAATTAATTTCATTATTTTCTGGATTTTCCAAGCCAGATAGCATACATGTTAGGATGCATGTAATGAAATATGAGACTGGCTAGAAAGAAAAAGTGACATTTCTTTATATATCTGGTTTCCCAGAACATCAATATTCTTATTTTCTATTAGTTTTATTATGAAATTGTCACAGCATGACTTGCCTCTTACTCTATGCGCATGGCATTTAGTACAGTAGTATAATGTGACCTTGATATTTTCCAGAATGTTGCTGCTGAGTTAATTATTCTGGAAAGCTAATAAAAGGGTTGAAAGCATGGTTTAATTAAATTACTTTAATTGTTTCACAAAAAGGATGAAACATTTTTAGCTATATGAAAGAAATATTAAACAGGCCATCAATATGACCATTTTTTAATGTACTATGACACAAGCCCTGTTGGAGGATTCTACATTTAATTGTTCAAAACCTGTACTCACTAGCACCATCAGGTGCTAGCAATTTCAGGGTGGTCAAATATTTCATTCCACTTACAGCCCCATTATTGTCCCACAGTATTTGGCAAATACATGATTTTTTTTAAATGTTACTTATTTCCATTTCATGCATGTATGATTTATTAACAAAATAATTTAAAAATAAAGTGTCTCTACCAAACTATAGGACCAACTCATAAAGTTAAAAAATATATAGCATAAAATGTTATCAATTAAAGATTATCTAAGATTACATATCATAGCAGAAAACTACACAACAGTAGTTTACAAACAAATGTAATAACTGAAAAACTGATTGGGTATTCCCTGTTGTCTTTCCTGATGTCCTAGTTAGTTCCTAGCTTGGTATGTGGCAAAGACAACTTAGAATCATTACAGCTGTACCTTAAAACCTAGACAAAATAAACTCATGAGAGATGGCTGTGGAAAGAGGAGTAAAAGCAAAAACCAAAGTACAGGATGACATGTTCCATACAATCTAGTTGTGTTGGGTTAAGACATTGTTGTCTCAAACCTTTACTGGATATCTCTGCCAGAATTAGCCTCCCTCCAAAAAAGTGAGTATCAGCCTTATTCACAGCTGTCTGCATATAAAATTCAGTCTATTTGCTGAAACCACTGATAAATGTGTTTGATCTAATTTACCAGGTTGTAATTTTGGGTACATAAGCCACTCCATCGAAATATCTGCTCCTTGCTACAGACATTGTTGCATCAGGCAGAAGAGTGGAGCAGAGAGATGGCATGATAAAGTCTTAAACTGAGGTAGGCAGGTGTACCAAGAGTCACAGCTGTAAACTGACAGAGCTGAAAATTACCATTTCTTAGTGTAATTATTAAAATCTAATTTGTTCACAGACAGTGAAAGCAACTATGGTTGCTTCTCACAGTGAGGGACTCAGGTATCTGAGATATTAAAGGTCAAAGCCCTAAAGGACTATCAATGTTTACTCCTGAATAATTTTAGAGAATGGAATTAAACAATTTGATTAACTTTAGTCACTTCTAATGAGGAAGGAGACACTGGTGTTCTCACTGGCAGAATGCCACTGAATCACACCTGTTTAAACTGTCTGTTAAAGCAGCATAAATTCTCTGCTTTTCTATAGGAAGATAACATGAGCTCACATATTTCTTCCAAGTGCTGTCTGATGGTGCTAAAGAAATTGCTGAATTAGCCTTAAGCACAGTAAGGCATTTTTTACCACTTTATGGAACATTAAATATAATTCTTTAAAAGTAGAAAGTTCCAATCTCATTTAGTTATGCTTTTGTTTATAAAATGATAAGTTACAGGTAAAAAGTTAGCAATATGTGCTGCTTTAATTACGATGATATATTTTATAAGTCTAAGGCTAAACTAAGAAACCACAGAGTATGGCTCAGAATAATCTGTTTAGGTGTAAGTTAGAAAAAGAATAATTAAAACATGAGTTATAATTTATCTAAAAAAATCCATTCTTAACATAATCCTGTAAAGGACCATCTCTCTACTTCATTAACATCCTCTTGAGAAAACCATTCATTCATGAGTAGAGTAGATTTTCAGGACAGATCTAGATATTAACTGTACAACAAAACTAACTTGAGCAGATTAGAAAAAAGAGGTGGTCTTTCATTTTGAGTTATGGGCCAATCTAGGTAGTTATTTTTTTTTTAGTGGGAGTTGCAAATCTGATACATTTCTGCATACATAAGGGAAAAATATTGATGTGACCAGGATTTATGCAAACTTCTCAAGAAATATGGCAGCATGGACAGAAATTACTATCAACTGCCCTGAGATGCCATCTCTCAGTTCCACAATGAGGACACGTATAGCCAATGAACTGGGTCAGATAATGTGCAAAGGCGAGAAACCAAAATATTCTGGGAGCAAAACCAACTTTGATCCCTTCTGACAACATAAGCAAGGCCTTTGCACAGAAGTCTATCACAGCTGGGAAGGCAGCCAAGAAACCTTGTATTCTCTTTTATCACAAACCCTGCCAAGTTATAGCTGATTTAACTATTGCAGATTGTCAGCCTATTTAAACTAATTAAATTTTAGACCAAATAGCCACAGCCTTTCTGTTTTTGCTAGAAATGATAACAGGATAGTTTTGAGGGAGAAAGTTCTGAGAACTCAGATGAAATCTGGACCAAATGTATTTTGTTTCACTTGAAAAGTTGCAGTGTTTGTAGAAGAAACTTGAACAATGAAATGTCTTATTTGCTAAGGAATAAAGTAGTATGATCAAAGATAGCATGTTTAAAAACTCAATTTTTTCCTCATAAAATCTCTTGCTACATCGTGAGTATGAAATTATTAACCATCAAGAACGTCCAGGCATCTTTTCTGTTTTGGCATAGGAATGTACTTCAAATAACACCTCCAGGTCACTGCAGGCTACTATTAATGCAGTATAACTATACGATGTGAATTATTTTTGCATGTTTATAAGATTACTTAGTGGTAATGAATTTTACAACATCAAAAACTTTACTATAGTGAATTTTACGATATTAATGACTGTATACTTACATCAACAATCAGGAAGTCCAGCCAGCACCAAGCATTAGTAAAATATATTTGAAAACCATATGCTACCCATTTTAAAAGCATTTCCAAAATGAAAATATATGTAAAAACTTTGTCAGCATATTCCAGCATGGTCTTGATAGTTTTGCGTTGTTCAATATATATATCTTCAAAAGCCTATAAAAATATATCCAGGTATTACTACTATTTCACAGAATATGGATTATAAAATTAAGGAATAAATAATATTAAGTAAGTAGGTTAGAGCTAATCTTTCCCATTGTTCTTCTTCATCCTCTTATTTTATATCTTTTCCATCTTTAACCACATTACAAGTTGGAGCAACATTATGTATTCTTCCCTGTATGGAGTTGAATATATATATATATATATATATATATATGTGTATTTATATTTTATTTTACTAATGTATGAAGAAATAAACTCACAGCATGATTTTTTTATCCTCTGTGGTATTAAGAATCTTTCATATACACACACAAAAACCCCCAAACCTTTCTTATACAACGTCTAAGATATGTCTGTTGCATTCTAGAAAGCAGCTAGAGGGATTCCATTTCTATCCTCCATCAATCAAACATATGTCTAAAAGTCAAATTAAAAGGCAATGTAGTTGCTAGAATGTACAACTATGCACATTTATATTGTAGCAACTGTTCAACTTGAGTAAAGCTGGAAAGGCAGGTAATGTAAATCTCTTTGGAAAGTGGTTGTTAGGTTTAATTTGCTGCTGCACTCTTCCGTAGCTCCTGCCTTCAAAAAAGGAAGAGAATGAATTAATTATTCCATTTCTTGGTATAGTCTTTCATAAGGAAAATTCAAGGAGTGGCTGAGCCTAGAAGGAATTAAGGATTTAAAACCACTCATTTAGCTATATATTCACGGTTAACAGTCCTTTGTACTCAAATCTCTTGACAAACATGCTGAAAATTGGCAGGCAATTTAAACTCTGAGTGGCTACACTGTCTTAAATTGCATAAAAATTGCATAAGTTTTATTTTTACACTGGTAAGACAGAAGTAGCACTAGAAAGGTGCATGTGAAATTTATCAAACTTTTTCAAGTTTGGGTCAAGTTTCATTCCATCCTGAAATGATAAAATGCAGGGAGTTTTATACACCTCCAAGGAAAACAAGTCTTTCTGAAGCAAATTTGATTTTTGCTGTTGCTCCTAAAGAGATATCTAAACATATCAGCATCTGCAATTTTGTTCTACTTACTAGTGCTCCACTGCTGAGGAGAATCATGAATACAATGAAAGTCTCAAACCAGTTGTGTTCAACTATGCTGTAGCAGGTCTTTCTAAGATTCCACCAAGTTTTTCCTTTGCCATCCTCTATACTTACTTGACAACATGGAAATTTTTGCACACAACCTGCATTAGATTAAGAGACATTAGGATCCAAAAGTCAATTACTTTAAAGTCAATATTTACTGTCATATCAATATTGTTAGAAGCTTTAACTAATTTTATAGTTTTTTTAATTAATCACTGGAATGCTGAATAGGCTATCACATCACATAGGATGCTGAATATCTGAATTCAGATAGCTAATCTTGAGATAAACCAGACAGTAGGAGACATAATTATGAGTAAAGTCAATCAAAAAAACATTGATTTTTTTTGACTGTTGGCATGTAACTGTTCCAACTGTTGGTGGAGTCACACAAAAATTTATTTGTTCCAAATTTAAAGGGCCTTTTCAAATAACTGAAAAGCATTTTAACAGCAGAAATGTTAATGACATTTCTTCATTACAAAATGTATGCAGTGGCCAGATAGATAAAGTTACTTAAAGCCTAGGGAAACCTTGTTTTTGCATCTGATTTCCAACATTCTAGGCTAAAAGTATTTTCTTTTGATTTTTGAGGTCAAGAAGGCCCACTAGACTTGAAACCCTCAAGAACTTAAATGTGCCAGTAATAATGTCATTTTAGCAATACATCTCTGAAGTCAACAGTTATTCTACAACCTTCTGTAAAACAGGCTTCTGGTTCAAGAGCTTCTTCACTTTCAATTTCTGCTTGCTCGCCCTCTCCAGGAGGAGCAATATCAACTGTGCTGCCTTCTGATGAGCTTGATGCATTTAGTTTCTGCAAGTAAAGTTCCACAGAACAATTTTTCTCATTAGATACATATTCTATAAGAAATGATACTGAATCAAATCATGCCAGTCTGACTTTTGAAGAATGGTAAACTTACAAATACGCATCACCAAAAGTAAATCCACGGTAACGACATGTACATTGCATACTTCCGTTTCCCAGTTTATCTTCTCATAGGGAACATTTAAATATAATTTAGCTACTAACCTGATCCACGTACATGACTTCTGAAGAATTCTCAATAGAATTAAAATGGGAGAGTCTACATGTACCCAACTCTTAAATTACTTCATTTTCTTTACTATTATACTGGATTACATTGAAAATGACTCTTAGTTTTCTGAGTGAAATGAATTAACAGAAATCTCCACTAACACACACCTTATCTGGATTTAAAAGCTGTAAATATAATAGCATTTAATGGCAATTTTCTGCACAATTTAATTTTTGCATAAAGCACAAACTAACAGATCCAAAATATCTTCTTTGCATTCCAGTCTTGTGTGCTTATTGAAGGACTTCCTGATGTCCCTTTTATCCCAAATTTTTCTGTCATTCTACTACTTTTTTGTACAGTGAAATACTATAGCCCTTACTACAGTAAAAGCACTTCTAGATCTGAAAACTGCAAGAATTGAAGAGTGACATAGAACAACTCAAATAAAGAAACTTTTTACCAAGTACATTAAAATTCTGATCAGGTCAAAGTATTCATCAGTCATGCAAGACTGCCCATAATTTTGTCCTTTTAAGAAAGTGTATTTTGAAAGGACGAACCTGCTAATAATGCACAGAACAAATGCAATAATCAGACAGAGTTTATAACTTGTTTTCAGTTGTCAATACTGTTGTGTCTTTAATTGTTTTCATCCAAAATACATTCTTTTTTACTGTGAAATAAGGCTTGTAATCAGAAAGCAACATTAAAAAATTCATGGCAGTGAAATAATTCTGATTTATCCCATGTAGCTATAGTACATAGGAATTTCAAGGGGGAATGTAGAGTGCACCTCTAACTTAAATCAACTGTACAAGTACTGATGTAACAAAAGGGCATTTAGTCACTGACGAGATCTGTGGGTTTAGTTTAGCCAATATGGTCATGTCCTTTGACTTTTGGATGAAGGCCATGTAGAGAAAGGATGAAGACCTTTCTACACAATTTTGTTGAGAGAATGCTTAATACATTTCACATTTAGTTTTCAAGATAGTGACATTTTTAGAATATAAAAAAACCCCTTCTGTTCAGAGGATTTGAATGATTTTGCAACAAATAATAACAATAACTTGTTTTTTGAGAAAAGAGGCATTTCCATGTAGTCTCTTCTTCTTCAGAGACACTGCTGCAAATTAGAACTAGTTATTCAACTCTTCAGTTAAAACCCAGTCTCTTCAGGAAAATCTATTCGCAGCTAAGGGCTTTCTCTGCCAGAAATTAAGTAAATGGCACGTATATCTTAATATAGCTTTGTAATCAATTCTTTCCTCATATTCAACTGTTATATGAGATGAATGAAGTTTAAAATAAAGGTCATGTTGGATAATGGATAATTTCAGGGCTAATTTTCAAGAAGCTGACTTTTGCACACACATGCAAATGTAGTCAATATAGGGTCACTCAGACATCAGGTTGTTACTGCACTGTGACCAAAAATAAAGGACTTGTCACATAATAGAAAAGATTTCTGACAAGCACACAGGTTTGAGTTTAAAAACCATTCTTTCCCTTTTTACATATCATGATCTGTCATACATGGAAAATCATGCTGACAAATGTGAAAAGATTTGGATAAATACATTGAGAACTAGATGCTTCCAAAGTTTAGGCTTTTTGCTTAGTAAACATGTTAAAATACCTTGTTTCATTTTTTCATACTCCGCTTCCTGTATGATTTCCAAAATTTATATATGTAAAATAGTTACAGCCATATTGCCTCTAAATGGAATAATTTATTACTGATCATGTAAATCTGTAAGTCTGGAATAAAATATTGCATATCTCATATTGTGAGAATATTTTAAATTTCATGATCTATATTGCATTTACAAACCGAAATGCCCAGTAACGTACACTACATTAAGCATTATTAGCACACCACCTTATTATCCACACATAAGGCTCTCTCTCCTTTAAGAAGGGTAAAATACTTGTGAATTAACTCTCTTTTTATATATCATAGAAATACCAAGAAATAAGAAGTCTGAAACTTGTCATTGAAATTATAGGCAGTTTCTTCATTAAATAAAAACCAAATGTTGTGAACATAATTATCTGTCACATTCAAGTTAGGGAAATTAAAACTAATTCATGGCCTGATCCATCATCATTAAATCAATTACTGACTTAACAGCAGCAAGGTAAAGGTTCATAGTAAGCATCAATTCTAAATCTAGGAGTGCAAATTAAAAGGCAGTCAAAATTTTAACTGCATCTTTCCATGTAAACTCTGCTGCAAATAGTCCTGTCAGCATAGCTGCTAAAAACCACGTGACAAAAGTGCAGTTTATAACCAAAAAAACCTACTATAGTTCTATTAAATAATTTTCACATAAAGCATTCCCTTCACTATTTTTCAAATAATCTCGAACAACTGCATTATTAAGAAAAAAAACCTCATTAGTTAATAAAAATCCTCTTCTTTGCTTCAAGACCCTAAATTAGGAAAGAACCAATACATTTTAAATAAGGTGACATTAATGATATTCTTTCTAGCAATGAAACTAATAAAGCTAACAGGAAGCTCAAGATTCATGATAGATTAGCACAATCTTCTTTTCAGCTCATAAATGTGATTATCAGCCTCCAGAACACACCATGCCCTATAAATACTTCTTTGCATCTTCAATGATATCGCATTTTCCTTTATAAGGAAACATTTGAAAGCGATTGCTTATGATGCAGCATTCTCAAGGCCTGAATCAGCAAAACAACATGCTTGACTAGAGCAGAAGCCTGAGCAATACTGTGAAAATCACACACACACACACACACACACAAAATCAGACTACCTCAATGGGATTATATTTTTCTGAAAACAGCAATATCAATATTATTGTGTAGAATATAACAGAAAAAATGCTTCATCACCAACCCAAATACTTGGTTAATGTATGTATAATCAGCTTCCATAATGTCCTTTCAGAGCAATGCATCTCTTATCAACAGCTTCGATCATTAAAACAAGCTTTGACCAACAGCATATTAGTGTGCCCATTTACAAGAAAGCATTCACTTAAGACCTAGTCTTGCTCTCATTTGATTCTATTCTAGATTTCAATAAGAGCAAGAGCAGGCTACTAAAATTTTAAGCTTTACAAATGGCTTCATGATTCAAGTGACAATAAAAAAAAAGGGATTCAGCCATTACAAATTGCCTTTAGTAATTCAGCCATGTGGTTTTATCCTTTGAATCTTGAAAGCTGCACTGTAATTGAGTGAAAAAATATAAAATAATGAAAATTGATGATTCCAAAGTGATTCTAAACTGACTTTAAGTCTCGGACGTGATGATATTTGATTTTTATATAATATTAAGAAAATTACTTAAAAATCTCTTTCATTAGAGGTTTATTTGATGTTTAGAGCATATCTTGGTTTAAAATTTAATCAGTAAAATCCAAGAATTTTCAGAATACATACCAATTTTAATTTCTTTTGGCATCTCTGGGCAATTTAGACTACAATATAATATAGGTAGATAATACTGCACTATAATCAAGGGTACAAAATTAACTACTTGGTGATCCTTTTGAAGCCAGTAAACTCTGCCTAAAGGAAACAGCTTTCAATCCTGCTATAGGACTGAAATGTCAATCTCCTCAAAATTTTGATGCCTAGTTTTACTAAGATAATTTGACCTCCTTAGTTTCATATAACTTTGGCTCCTGTGCTGTCCCTATTCCTGAAGGCTCTGCCAATTTACTCATCAATGGAGGGCATGTTTGCCTATAATGAAAAAACCCTTAGGTTAAATATATATAGAATTTTATAAAAATTATGTTGACTACTCCATAGTCTTTCTAATTTACACAAAAGTCCCCCAATTCATTTACAGACCACTATTGTGAAACACATTCCAAAAAACCACTATTTATGAAGGAGTTTAAGATTTGAGAAAAGAGGATTTGTAAAATGTTTTGCTTTGAGAGTTCTTTAAGGAGAGTTATTTGCTGTCATTTTAGCAATTATGAAACTGTTTTCTCTGCTTTCAGTTTATAAAACTCAAGATATGCACTGTCCAAATGAATCCAGTGCAGTTTGTAGCATCTTGGATATTTGCGTTACAGTGCATTGTAATTTTAAAAGTTTAACACTGTAATTTTTACACAAGTAGCTACTGCAATAATTCAAATGTTATTCAACAAGGAGCTGAAGTCATGGCAGTAATCATTTCATAAATCACTTAACACATTTCATTAAAAATTTACATTTATAAGGGCTGAATCAAAAAGGGTTGTTTTTATTTTTTAAAAACTATGCATGCTCCCTTTTTCTTTGGCTTCTTTAGCATATAACATTCCAGTACTTTTATGATCCATACTTCAAAACCTGAAGAGCATGCAGTTATTGCTAAAAACTGTATTTAAATATTCAGAAAAATCATTAGCAGAGTTAAAAAATATATGTTGGGGTTGCCAATCCCACCTGACCATGCTGTGATGTGAGTCCCGTGACTCAGCAGAGAGCAGCTGTGCATGTTTCTACTGTCTTGCAATGGATAGGGAAGGTACATAGCTGAAGAGCATGCAGGCCAGTCAAAATCCATTAAAAAGTGATTATATATATATATACATATATATGTATAACTTGCTTAGGTAACCTGTGTGAAAGTGGTGACACGTTGCTCTACCTGGTTAAAAAGCACCAGAGCTGCATTCTTGATTGCTCCAGCTTGGTTTTACCCCTGTGAGAAGTAAGAATGGTAGGTAGTGAAGTTCAAGACACAGGATCACTAGTTTTCCTCTTTTTGGAATCTCTAATTCAAACA